GATTAATCTATCTGTCATCGTGGTATAAGGAAGATATATGGGCATTGTTCAACAGAGCAGGGATGAAGTAAGGGAACGGATTTGTATTAGCACTGGACATGGACATTTGTTATAAGAACATAACTCAAGGATCATATTGGGAGTTAGGGGCTGCTGTTTTTTCCGTTCTATAATGAGATATTTTTGCAAACTTCCTCGCTTTTCAAAGCACCCCTACTATAGCAAAGCTCCAGCTGCTGCAGAATGATTTTCCTGGTCTCGTTTCTCTCACACTAACTGACGTCAAAGCGCATATCAGATGGTCTGGGATACTTTTTGAGGCTCACACATGCAAATGGTCATCTATCCTCCTCCACCCACTCTCCCTACTCAGGCCTACCGCTCTGCCGCTTCTGCTGCTTCCGTGAGACCGAAGCAGAAACAAATGTCTCAGGCCTGCCAACTCTTGTGTGGTACTTGTGTATGTGTTAGTGTGTGCGCGTGTGAGTGTGTATTCCATGGGAGCACACTGGGCTGTGGTTCCCTCAGTAGTCCTGCAGCGGCAGTAACTCAATACAGTACACACACATTTTTGTTGCTGATCCAAGCTTCTCTGCTTGCCACGATTTTTGGTTCAGTTGAACTTGTTGTAAAACACTGCCGTGCACTGTTAAATAGGAGAACATGTAATCAGCATCTAATGAACACAGTGTGCCCTGTTATGAAAGATGGTTATATGCACTTTAATGAAGTGGATTTGTTGCTGCAGACTTTGATTTAGCATTTATATGGCTCCAAGTCATATTTCAATGCAATATTTGTTCTCAGGGTTTCAGAAAAGCAGTACTGAAAATATTATCTGAACTCCAGCTAGTCTTCTCAAATCTATTACAAAAATTACAGTAAATACATTTTGATGCCAATGTAACTTTTGCAATAATAGTTCTTTCTTTCTTTCTTTCTTTCTTTCTTTTTTCTTTCTGTGTCTCTGCCCCCCACCCTTTTCTTTGCCTCTAATGTAGGAAGAAAAGATGTTTCTTTGTAATAAGGAGCCACTGGCACTAGTTCCACTGACTCACACAGCTGCACCAATAGAGCTCTCCTCCCTCTGATTTACAGCCAGTGGTGGTATTATAGGTTTCTAGTTGTTTTCCAAAGTTATTTACTGGCTCTTTCAATCCATCTGTCTGTGTTTCTGCAGTTTGTGCAGAGATGTTTGTACTGTTCTACCTTTGACATTTAGTAAAACAAAACCTGATGTGACAAGATATTTTGCTTTTATATCAACTGTTGGTGATAACTTTGTTCAACTAACACTGGTTGAAAGAAAATAATAGTTTCAAAACCCCAGTGTTAAGTTGGTTTCACTGCAATGCTGAATAAAAAAAAAAATACTTCAAGGGTGGATAGTCAATACTACTTGGAATTCTGCTACACAGCTCAGACTACATTTGTATTTTTTAATGGCCAATTAAGTTATGGCCCGACGTCTTTAGATAACTGTGGTTAATATACTGCGCATGAGCAAGTGAGCCTAAATGTTGATGGGGAATGTGAAGGTGTCAAGGTCTATATGAACACGCGTTTTTGCAGAATAAGAGCTGAAATATGTTGCGTCTCTATATGTGAAACTATTGTATCTGACCGTGTATTTGAATCCATGTTGTGTTTAGTGCTTGAAGATGATCTGTTTATATATGGTTCAGACTTGACAAAAATTAACTTTGAGTCTTTTATATTATTCAATAGTTAACCAACTTTTAAAGGACTCTACGTGCCTGACTTTGTGCAGGCACATGCAGAAACAGATAATGGTCTCCCTGAGAGAAAAAAGATTTTGCTACGTGATTTAGGTTAGATTGAAACAAAGTCCATTTTATGCTTCATTGCTCCTTATGAAGATTTACGAACTGTACACTTCAGAAAAATGTCCTCCCTCTCTGCAGATTCTTTCTGGTTGGTTGATTGTGAAAGACTTAAACTGTATTTTAGAAAGAGAACTTTTTTTGACAGAATTCATTTGTAGAGCTTGAAAGGAGACAAAGCGTTTGGTACACAAAGTCAGACTTGTGAGTCATGAGTTTTGTGAAATATTTATTTTCTGTAAAACATGTTGTTTCATCTTAGCATCTTGGAGTGGCATTTTAATGCGCTAAAATGACACTAAATGACACTAAAATAATTAATCAAATAAATCACGAGTGTGCTTAAGCACTAATTATTCTATTTGAAGACTCATTGTTTGAGACCTGATGGGTGAAAGAACAAGGTTTTTGAAACAATTGATAGATACAAGTATGCAATGTAATTTAGTGTCTCCATAATTACCATAATTGTTATTCATAATCATCACAAATTACAATGCCAAAGCGTTGATATGAAAGACACTGATTTAAATGGATTGCAAAAGATGCAAAATAGTTGAAATTATCCCCGAGGACACTTAAATAAATAATCCCTATAGATGTAGCCACACATGAAGGTTACATACTCGTCGCCTCATACAATGGTCACATCAAAAAGTAACAGGCATATTGTATGAGATCTTGTGTCTGCATTCCTTTGACCCAAAATTAATAATAAATTGAGTATTTCCATAGGTGTCTTTGTGACTTCAGTGGAGGAGGGTAGAGCTGTGTTTGGTGGGAGCCAAGGGCGAGCAACTTGTCATGTCAGGGGTATTAATTTATGATTTCCATCCCAGCTTCTGACCTCTTCACCTCCATTAGAATGCAGCCTTTGTAATTTCATGGTTAATATTCAATAGCCACTTGTCCCCTATGCCCGCTTTGTGCATGTGAAATTTCTGGAGGGGGTGTACATCATTTTTGATTTGAGTTTGTGTTTGCGTATGGAAAAGGAAACGAGGGTCGACTCCAGCATGGCTTCCTGCAAAACAGTTGCAGATGTCCAGAGATGTCCTCAGTGTCTCTAAGGGCTTGAGTTGCCTCTCTGTCTAACCTGAGTCATTTGAACCCCCTCCGCAATACACACTTTTTACACAAACACACAGTGGATGAATCCTTTACTGGACTTAATAAATAAATTGCTCTTATTGTCATTTCACAGTACAGGTACTATGTAACAAAATTGTTCCTCTGCATTTGACCCATCCTAGTGTTAGGAGCAGTGTGCTGCCGTGGACGGCGCCCGGGGAGCAGTGTAGGGAACGGTGCCTTGCTCAGGGACACCTCGGTAGCACTTGGTCTTGCCGGGACTCAAACTGGTGACCTTCCAGTTGCCAAGCCAAGTCCCTATCGACTTCGCCACCACCGCCCTTCGCCAAATTCTGACCCTCCTATTAGTGAACACTACACTCAGTCTACAAGAAGCAGCGGCTGGCCAACATCTCACACCCAGTGGTCATCACACACGTGTGCACACAACAAGTATGCATGCGCACAAACACAGAAGACAGGAATTGTTTTCATCAGATCTTACTGTTGGCCACTCTCAAGACGGAAAGAGAATGAAAAGATTAAAGGCAGGGGAAGAAGAAAATCTCAAACGGTAAGAGTCCCCTGCATTTCTCCACACACTGATGTGTTGGCCTGAACACGCATTCCTACTGAACGACTTTGGCAAGCCTTTAAAAAAACACATTAAAGGGCTCTGTTCTGCATGAGCACAGTTGTTGCTGTTTTCTCCCTTTTCCTCTCGCTCTGCTCAACTCAGAGATCAGCTAATCTGGTGGGGTTTTTGGGAAATTTGCAGATGCTAAAATATTTTTATGAGAAATAATAAAACAGCAGGAAAATGAGCAACAACACTGTTTAAAACGAGAGAAATAAAGCTATACTGCTTTTACCACATGGTCACTTTATGTAACACATGGTCGACTCAGCAGTTGTTTAACCTACTTCTATATTGAATTTGATGTTGTTTAGTTTGTTTTTGTCTGTGGTTCCCAAATCAATTTGTTTGACGTCCCCCCACAGCACTAAAGGATGGGTTCAAAAAACGTTATCAACACCACCCTTCAAATCCGAATGTGTTCTTTCGATAGTATTATTGACGTATATTGTTTGAATATTTGTATCATACAATTGAACATTTCAGCTAAATATTTTACATGTTTATGCATTACTTTGAGCTAAATGCTTGATTCCTAACTATACTAAAGCATACTCAATTTTCAACATGTGGTGTTAATCAATGTTGTAATGCAACTAAGTACATCTACTCAAGACTTAAAGGTGGGGTAGGTAATTCACTTCAGAAACACTTTTTGTTATATTCCATGGAATGCTCTTAACATCCCGATAGCAATGAATATATTAAATGCTTTGACAATAAATACATAAAAACGTTTCATCTGTGGAAGCCGTAGCGCTGTAAAAAGCACGACCAATCATCTGAGCCGGTCCGGCTAAAATAACTGGATGGCCTACCTGCCTGTCAGCCTTCCATCTGTGCGCAAACTTATCTCGTGCCCTCATTGGTCATGTGCGCGTTCGTGTGTGTTGGAGGAGGGGCTCTGTAAGGAAGGGGCAGATTTTTTTTCGGCTGCGTACTACTCTAGCGCACTCGAGCTGGTTTCTCCATTCTTACCTACCCTACCTTTAAGGTATGTTATCATGTAATGGTGTGATATAACCATTGCTTTTGATACGTTGAGTTAAGTTCAAACCTTTGTTCTTTTACTTGAGTGAATGTAAAACATGGAGATGAATTCAAAAGAAAGCAATGGCAATTTCTTAGCAACAGTGTATTCTTTCACTGTTTTTTATGTATACATATTTTGCTTTCCTAATATTTTTGTAAGTGGGCCAAGCAGTGCAGAAGAGAAGGTCAAATGTATAAAAACAGTTTAAGCTCCATCTGGAATTTCAGTAATTCAACACTCTCCAGGTGATGACTAAGACATTTTTTGTTTCTATTAGATTCGTTTCTGCTACAAAAACACTTTTTAAAATACCAGACTACAGTACAACCCAAGTATTTGTGGACCGTAATGCAATAAGGCCATAATGTAATAAGCTTGGAGCCTATGTGAAAAGGAAGAAAGAATGACACGTGTAGCCTGGAGTTCACATTGTTTATTCAGTCTTAAACTAAGAGATTTTAACGTGACTTCCAGGACAGCAATTCAAATTGACATAAAATGGGTGTAGTGTAAACAAAATGACATTATAGTGGACTATGGTCGAGTAACAACTAATCTAGGCTAATATAACTTTGAGAGGACTGCCAGAGGAGGCCAGTCTTTTCAAACCAATATCCAAATTACATCTTATGAAAAGATAATGAATCTTGGCAAGTCAACAATTCAACATTTTTGTAGTTAGGTAATTCCAACAAAAATACTGATAATACTGATTATGGACACCATTGAAAGTCAACTTGTTTTCTTCAAGTATTACTGTAATGACTGAGCGGGATATTTGAATCTGTCTAGTACAGTTAAAACATTAAATCCATATCCCCAAGCAATTTTTACAATCCAGAGTGTGACCGAAATGTAAGACAGTTGTTCATCTCTCTTCATCCAGACATATTCTCCATCTCCAGACCAACCAGTCAGTGTTTTCAATCCATCAGACTGCCACCATTCGCAACCAATTACTGAGGCACTTTTCAGGATGGACTTAAAAAGTATTTAATGATCAAGTCATAAAATCGTATTCAAACATCATTAAATAAAACTTAAATGATGTGTTCACTGTTTTTCAACCCAGACGTTTAGTAAAATATTGTTTCACACGATTTATGATGCACTGCACAACAAAGTGTTGACATACTCCAAGAGGAGCTCTTTAAAAACCCAGGCTAAGCTAATTTAGGAAAAGCAGGAACTTCACAGGAGGGTTCGACTTGTTTATAAGATCTACAGCCAAAATGAGAGTTGCAAATCTGTTCTTTCTGTCACAGGTAGGTTTCTGTTGACCTTTATCCAATTCCATCTCTGCTGCAAACAGGAATTTAAGCAAATAAAATCAATTTAACATAATAAATGAAAAAAGAATGTCATGGAGCTTCCCATTTATGCAATCTGGATTTACTTTGGTTTTAAAAGAATGACCTTTTGCACTGTTTGGAGTCAGTGAGAAGCTGGAGCTGTGTAAGAATCTTGAAACTTGAGCTAGAGTGCGTGAGGTTGTTTTTATGCACAGTCATAAACAGGCAATAGGAAACAACATGCCAACTGGATTGGGTTCAAGGCTGCCCCCTCCCAATGGATGAGTCACATCTCTGGTAATAATGATCATGATTCTTTGTAAAGGAACAAAGAATCATAATTAGACAGATTATGAATCTGTCTAAAAATGATCAAGCCTAAAGTAGACCTATTGTTTGTGCTGTAGAATCAGTGGGTAGCAAACATATGTTAATATTTATTAATATTCCAGTTAGTAATACTCATAGTTTGCATGAAGGCAAGATGAACAGTTTAGTTTAACACTGCCGGCTAAAAGGCAGGGTAGCCAGGCCATTGTCTTCAGTGGAGGCCAGTAATGCTATCATTAACTAGTTTAATCTGATTTACATTTGTAGACTTATCTGTATCATTTTTAATTATTGACTTCTGCTATTAACAAACCAGTATTTTTATTTAGCTTTTAAACTCATGGATTAGCTTTGCATCCCCATAGATCTCCATTAAAGTCCATCCATATTTCTTTTTGTGACATGGTTGGTCTGGTGACAGAGAACAGGTCGTTGGATGAAGCAACATCTTCACAATCTGCACTGGGAATATGTTGTTAATCCAAACAAATGAAATTGTAATAACTTCTATACACAACATTATATAATCCAGTTCTCCCTTCATACATCTCTTTGTGCTGTTATTTAAATTGCATTGTTTTCCAGGGCACTGCAGGATTTTGAAACATGTCAACATTTAAAACACATCCTTTCCTTTATAAACAGAAATTAAAGGTCTTAATATATTTTCAAGTTGCATTTGTTGATTTCCAAAAACTTGACTTTCTGCTTCTGTGTTATCAGGTTGATTGGCAGCTTTAGTGTATACTCTTAATCAACAGTGTTATATTTCAGCCCTTGTGTCTAAAAACTAGTCCAGTCAGAGGAAAACTCTTTGGTATTTCCAAGAAAAAAGGATTTGATAAGAGAGGAGAGAGATTTGTATCAAGTCATTTTAAAATGCACAACAGATACGGGCGACATCTCAAGAGGTATTGAGTCGGAGAAGGTATGCATCTGAGCATATGAGAGTGCGGGCTTGTTATCAAAAGCGTACCATTCACACAGCGAGCATATGGATCTAACTTAGCATAATGTCGTGAGATTTTCACTCAAGGAATTAAATTAGATGTTGAGCAATGTCTGCTTTATAGAGAGCCCGGCAAAACCCGATAACACAGAAATGTGATTTTCACATTAGAGGAGAAATGCAAATATCTTAACTAAAATCTACAAAACAAGGATTAATAGATATTTGGTAAAGGCGAGGAATCTACTAGAAAATTCAGGCCTTAAGCTAAGTTAAGCCAAGGCCATTTGTTCACATAACACAATGACAAAGAAAAATGAAACATGTTGAAAAAGAGATGATGCGATCCAATCCTCTTCCAGCCGAGACTTTTTTTGATGAGGAGGAATCCACTGAATCCAGCCGAAGCCCCTCAAAATAAACAATGTAAAAGTAAACAAGATGTGAAACATTAAATGAGGAGAGACCTTTGATTAAGAACTCTCTCCCTTCACATGTTAGAGTAGAGAATGTGTCCATGACGAATGCAATCAGCCGTTCACTCAAAAGTCACTTACAGTACTCATTTAATTGGACCCATCTTCCGACTGATGCACGACACTCATGATTCTTCTCTGAATAAGACTGTGAGATGAATATTAACAAAAGAAATTCGTCTGTAGTATTGCCACAAGCCACCATTAACGTTTTATATTTTTGTACATTGCAATAAGAACAAAGACAGCGGTGGATCCACCACTAAGTGTGTGTGTGTGTGTGTCTGTGAGTGTGTGTCACAAAGGCCACTATACGCAATCAAAGTGGAAGACTTTGACCTTGCCAAGGACAGGAGGACAGACTATGTTTCTATTGAGATCTGAGCGTCCATTTTCCCATTATGCTGCTGCTCTTATCTACAGAAACACTAAAATCCGGTTAAATGGAGCCATTTTCTCATTTGCCTTTGGAGGTCATTTTTCATGCTTGGAGAACTCCACTGATTCAGACGGCACAAGGGGCTCCATTGTGATAATAGCTTGTTCTGCGAGGGTCCGGAGGCCCGGTCTGCACAGTCAGGCAGACAGTCCCAGACCAGAGCTGGAACTCCCTCTACATCATACATCCAGTTGTGTAGCAAGGGGCCGCAGCAAAGGCAAAGGCGGGAAGCTACTGTCCCATGGTTTGATCAATAAAAGAGAGGAGAAATCACCATTGACTGCTCTCAGCATGTTATTGCTTGACAAACCTTGTACGAAACCTAATTCAAGAGCCAACTAGGCCCTTCAATAGAGTGTTAACCACAGAGCGCAGGCAACAAGGATGTTTAGCGCTTCCCAGCTCTGGTGAGACACTGGTTGAAGTTGCTCCTGGGCTGTGGCAGTTTGTAGCATCTACTTTGCCCCCCGTGGTGGCAGCTGGGGCCCTCAGGAGGAAAAGCAAAGGCTGCAGCACTCCATGCAGATCTCCAGGCAGTCTGCAGACTCGCAGCAGGCGTCGATGATGCCACAGTCCATGTCACATGGCAGTTCACAGTCGCCACACTCCTCTGACGCACAGCAGCAGCAGAAACACGAGTCGTCCCCCGCACAGGAGCCGCATGTGGCACAGTCCAGCACGATGTTACACAGAGTTAGGAATTCACAAAAGAGGCAGGCCAGAATACAGTGAACACAGCAGTCTGCAGAGAAAGAGAGACAGAGTTTTATCATTGCCCACTCATAATTACTTTTCTTATGTCAATAGTTTGTATGCTAATCCGTCAGTATTTTTTCTGTCACATGTCATGCTAATGAAGCAAAGAAATATAAAAAGTTTTGTCAGAAGTAGCTTGGCAGTACGTTCACTGTGATAGGTCAGAAATTATGAAACATGATTGAGTAATTACTTCACAAGAACACATTTTCCTTCAGTGCCAGGCTAAAGGCTAAGGATGGCCAATGTCCTGGTGGCATTAGCGCACTGACTTACCACATTTCTTCTTTAATAGGAGTTAAAAAAACACATTTCTGGTCTTACAAAATCTTTCTTGGTAATAAGAAGTTACCTTGCCCTCGCTGCTCAACCACATCCTCTCTTCTTTTTTGAGCTCCCAGTATCAGTATTGGTCATGTAAAAGACATGACAGTTGCTACTTTTTAATTAGCGAATGTCATGAGAAGGTGGCCTTTTCCACATATAACAGTTACCAGTTGAAAATGTTAAATGCCATACTTTTCACACTTTGCCATGGATCTAACCCACTCACGTTTCAAAGACACAAAAGTGGATTTATTACAGGAATACAGAGGTTAATATCTTTTCATATTTTAAAGTTTGTTAAATTACTCCTTTGGTTTTTGATTATTTCATTTGGATTTTTAAGTTGGTAAAGATTAAGTACGATTTTACATTGAGTGGGTATGAAATATACTGTTAAACTTAGCTGAACTCTGGGTTGCTGCTTTTGCTCTTTTAATACAACCCACCAATGGTAATACATGCACTAATCTTACAAATTGCAAAACGAAATGTAAATGATTTCTACTTCTGGGTCAATGAAGATGTGAAAATAGCATTATGATCCTTCACTCGGACCAGACATATGAAAAACTTGATGTGGAACCTTGCTTGCTATCCATCCCTTTCGTTCCCACAGCCCCCCCCGTTAGTGTCTGTATCTCACCCTGTGACTCTGCGGGAACCTGAGAGCTGTTGCTCTTGGAGCTGCTCTTGCTCCTCTTGCTGCTCTGGGATGTGATGGAAGGGTTGGACCGCAATTTCTTGGTGTGTTTAGGTCCCGCCGAAGAGGACGAGGAGGTGGAGGATTCCCCTCTCGGGAGGGAGCCCAGCTTAGGATGCTGATGAAGGCCCCCGTTCTTGACCCCGTTGGATTGGAGTGTGTGTGTGCGAGGCGTGTGATGCGGACAGTGCGTGTGAGGGGAGTGTCTGTGTGCGTGGTGCTTGGCTCCGTTGCGTTGTTGGCCGCTGGGCTGTGTCCGACATGGCTGGGTGTGGCGGGCGGGCGTAGATCTGGCTGCTGGTTGAGCTGCGAAAGGACATGGTGACAGGAGGTGAATTAATTTACAATAGGCTGTGGGTTGTATGCATTTCAAAGTGAATACAAATTCAAAACTCTTCAGTTTAACTCAGTGTTGCTTTTGTTCTGTCATATAAATGACAAGCTTGCACTTGCACTTTTAAGGTACTTTTTAGTTGTGTCGAATTGTGACATAGCACTGCTGTTGCTTTCTGATGAGAATATATTATGAAGGCCCACATGTATATGATAGACTAAGGCCCCGTCCACACGGACACGAAACGGGTTGTATCGGCGAGGCCGTAACTGAACCGTGGAAAACTGAGCCCTCAAACGGTAACGGGTCCCTAGGTGGGTAGATCTGCAGACGAAACGCTCTGGGGGGCCAAACGGCTCCGTGTGTACGTCCTATACGATAATTTCCTGATAACGATGAAGCCATAGCCCGCCTCTCCCCACCTCTGCTGCTCACTGCTGTAGCATGGTCAGTAACTACTGCTACGGAGAATAAACAGAAGGGCAACCATGGCAACCAGGCAACCATGGCAACCATGCTCGGGGGGTCTTCTTCGCTGCTTTTGGTGTATTTTGTGGCGGAAGTACAGCGCCACTTACAGGCCCGGCATATGTACTACAGCGTCTCCAGCGGGTCGAGCGGCCTCGTGTGGACGGACACGTTTCTTGAGCCGATACCGTGTGGATGGAAGACTTTTTTCATATCGAATTTGGTTTTCGTTTTCGTCTCCGTGTAGATGCAGCCTAACACCGTAAGTATACTAACATTGAGATTTTTACTGAAAATTCACATTGTCAATTAATCTATACATTATTTTATGTGACTAACCCTTTTTTTCAGACTAGCAATCTAAAGGCCATACTTTTAGTATGCATTACAAAATAGAGACACATACAGCAAATCCTTCCATTTGAGGAGTTTGAACCAGGGTATATTTTGACATGTGTGCTTGATAAAGAATTTCAACAATTATTTATGTTCTCAGATTGAAGCATCCCTTAAAGCATTTAGGGATAAAATATGTATATAGTGTGCGAGCAGGCTTGCCAACATGTGTGGCTAATGCAGGTGATCACTGTACAGCTCTGAGGCAGGGCCGAGGACCCTCTAAGCGTGCGTGCAGACTTGTGCTGATGAGGCGTTGTGCAGAGGGAGGCTCTGGGAAACTGAGTTCAATTACAAAGCCTACCCTAAAGGCAAATGCTCAAGGGAGGAGCTCTGTATTTGCTGAACTGACCCCTGAGCCTACTAGTCTAGACTCTTATACAACAATAAAGACATGACGGGGAAAAAAAGACACATGAAAAGAGTGTAAGAGAAGAAGACCAGAGTGTTTTTCTGTGGATAAGCTCATCCTATCAATGCATCTTTTAGAGTACCTACAAACAGTGTGCACATTTTGTTAATCTTGGCTCAATATTCCACTTGGTATGTTTTACCTCCAACTACTTAGCCAGAGTGATGGAGGCAGAAAAGCACACCTTCGCTGCCAAACAAAACACACACCCTGAAAAGAAGAATAAAATGGAAGCCTGGTTTTTATATATTATGGTAGTATTTAATACCATCCTATTGAGACCCTAAATATTTTCTTGACCTGAAAGCATCTGGTGTCGAGAGACGTGGTGAAAATTAACAGGGCAGGTTAGACAACAGAGCGAAAAAAAAATCAAAGCAGGAAGGCAGTACCTCTCAGATGCACACACACAGTGTGGTCCTGAGCTCTGGCTATGAAACACGACTGGCAATAAAAGCGTCCGTTCGATAACCGCGCAGAGACAGATAACCCATCCAGGCCTGTTTTGATTGGCTAAAGGCCGTAGTCACACAACCAATCCAGTGTTATTAAAGATTCTTTCATTCAGCGTTTTTCTAACTTTGCTCCAGATGTTTGGCAGGCTGCAGGGCCTGTGTGTGTCCGTGTGTGTGTGTGTGTGTGTGTGTGTGTGTGTGTGTGTGTGTGTGTGTGTGTGTGTGTGTGTGTGTGTGTGTGTGTGTGTGTGTGTGTGTGTGTGTGTGTGTGTGTGTGTGTGTGTGTGTGTGTGTGTGTATTAGTGTGTAGGCGTGTATGCATGTGCAGGGCTAGTGAAAAGGAGCCATACTAATCTAAAGTATGTAAAAAGTCAATACTTGCTTCTCTCCTGTGTTATGTCTCTCCCTCTTTTCTTACTTCACTTCATCTCCTCCCTTTCTGTCTGTCTTTCTTATTGCTCCCTTTTAACCTTTTGCACAATGCTGTATTTTCACTCTGAGCTGGCCAGGATGTAGGTCGGTAAGAGAAGAAGGGATTAGAGAGACGAGAGGGAAGCTGTGCACAATTTTTCAGCATTCCCACTGGGTGTGTATTGTCCAGGGGATTGTGAGTTGTAGAGAAATTCATCCTTTTTGTGAGTTTGTGGTGTGCATGTGTGTGAGGGTATGAACGCAGTACATAGGCGGATCTGGCAAGCAAACAGACAGACAGAGACGGGGAGTCAGGCCTGTCTCCAAACAGAGCTTGAGGTTAGGCCCACTCTCACACAAATGTATGCATGCAAAGACTCGTGCGGACACACACTCATATGCACATGCACACACACAGAAAAAACACAAGGTCCCTTTGTCTGAGATCAAGAACGTAAGGGAGAAATATGGACTGAGAAACAGAGAAAACAAAGTTGGAGAAATGGGTTGCTGCCTATTTGGAGCAGGAGGAAGCATGGGTGTGACTCATAAACACAATGATTCAGCAGTGGGAGCTAGTTAAAAATAACAGCAAATAAAGAGCCAAATGACTGTGGGATTAACATGATGAGACTGGGAAACCACAGAGCGTGTGTGTATGGTGCTAACACAGCAGCGTTGGCCACTGGGGGTCCTGCAACCCTTACAATGTGTGTGTGTGTGCATGTTTGTCCGTGCAGATGTCTTGGGCCAGTGAGCGAGCACCAGTGAGTCACCATCAGTTGAATGCAGCAGCACACACACCCCCATTCACACCCCCTCCACCTCTTCCTTCTCTTCTGGCGTCTCTCAGCCACCCTGTACTTACACACCTCTCTCCCAGACCAAAGATCTGCTGTTCATCTCTCTCTCTCTCTCTCTCTCTCTCTCTCTCTCTCTCTCTCTCTCTCTCTCTCTCTCTCTCTCTCTCTCTCTCTCTCTCTCTGCTAGAATGAGTCACCAGCATGAGTATGAACTCTGCCTCTATTCCAGCTGCTTTATCCTCCCGTCTACTCTGGTGCAGTTTAGGACAAAGTCTCTGCGCTCCCAAATGCAATTGTGAATGGTGCATGTCCCCAGAAATGTGCCCCTTACCTAACAAAACACAAGCAAATAGACATTATTTTTGCATTATTAAGCACAACAGAGGCTCAGTATCCAATCAAATATGTTTGACTCACGCTCAACACTGATGCGCATTATTGCGGTTTGCAGTGAACTTGTTTTTATCAAGGAGGACATGTGCCATTTATGATGACAATAAAGAAATCACTAACTCCCTTCTGAGTTTTTCTTGCATAGTTGTGCTGTTTTTAATTGTGGGCCAAAAGTGTCAACTACTAAAAATGTGAGAATGGGAAAATGATATGTTGCTGGTGAAGTTTTCAATGAGTTTTTGCCACATGTTTGGCTCCTATAAAGCCCCCAAACCAACATTATAGCGGTACATAGTGGTTTGTTTAGTTGCGGTCTTCTACTGCATTGAAAAAGTAGCACATAGACTGATGCATCAATTACATTTGAAATTGTGACTTACCTCTAGATTAATAAAAAGCTACTTCATGTTACTTTCAATGAAAAAATAACCACTTAGTTTGGTCATAGCAATGTTAACACACATTCAATTCCATCATACAATTAAAGGCTAACGAGGTTAACATCATTTGTATGTTAGAATCTGAGCCACACAACATTTCAGATATAAAAGTACTTAATAAAGTGAAAACTTGATCACTGAAGGCAATGGTCTGTGTGTCTTGGTTTTATTTGTGCTGACAGGTTAAAGATACCAATGCATACAAAAAAGCAGCACACCTTATCCTACAAAAGCCTCATTTTAAATCTTCTTCGAGTAGCCAAATCATCCTTACAGAACATTAAAATATGATGTGCATACAGCGACACAATAGCCAAGCTTTACACAGACAGAGGTACAATAGGCAGCTTCAGTGTTATCGTGTAAATGACATGTTAACATTTCTTTTTAGTTTGAGATGTTGGAGCTTGTTTTGGCTCCTGAGGGTGGAGCTGCACTTCCAGCAAAGTGGAGAGACAAAGTCTCAGTTAAGTGTTAAGTCATGACATTTAGAACCCAATCAAACCTCATGATTGCAAAGAGAAAATGCCGAATTGGTATTTAAACAGCAGACTCAGCACCACTACTTGTTGTTATAAAAGGTCTAAATAATAAGCCTAAATAAGATCTCAGCGCTCAAAAGGGTTGAGTGATTGCAATTTGACAGATGTGTTCGTGCCTGCACAAGTTTGCGGAAAAGCCTTTTCTATACCAGGAATAACAAAGCTGTGCACTTGGAATTAGTCTTTTGTATATTGTTTTGAAATTTGCCAAGAACATTTCTTTCTCTTTTTGCTGGAAGAAAACATCAAATATGACCCACAATGCATAACAACAACTTGCCCAATACACAAAAGTTCTGGAAAACAAAATAATAGATGTTTTCTTGTGGTTTTTTGACATTCAGATACAAAATGTAATCCCTGCAAATGTCTGAAAACACTCAATTACATATTTATTTTTGCAAAGTTTGACTTTGTGACTTTCACCTGACAAAGTCATGTAAAAACAGTGCAAATATTTCATGAAGTGGTTTAAGCCTTTAAAGAGGACCAAGCAGTGGATTTGCAATAACAACATGACAAACTGCAACACTAATCCCTGACCTGAGACTTCCTCCAGCCACCTCCTTCACACACGACTGACAGTGTTACCATTACCTCTACCTGATAGTACATGTCAAATATAGTGTATCGGTTTATTTGTGACTAAACATATATATAGATCACATATTCAGAAGAAGACAAGAGAGATTGAACAAAAAGAAAAGAGAGAATTAAAGCAGAGGAAGAGATGGAAAACTGTTTGAGCACAGTGACTGGTCTCTAATTAAAGCCAATGACACAGCTCTGTTAGATTTCCCACCAACAACACACTGCACACCCTTCCCCTTTGATGACAAGATAATAACAAACAGCTCCTCTCAACATTTTCCTTACACGCAATTCCATGCCCTGATTGGCACATGCATAAAGAAAGGGTCTGTTTTATATCTGTTTTATGCTTTGATCTGATTTGGATCAGAAGATCATTTCAAACCAATAAAAATAAACAAAGTGCAGGAATCATAAATGCTACTGTGATCATGTCAGTGATGTATTATTGTACATGTCATTGTTTCCTCGTGAGACCAAAAGTGTGCAAGCATTTAAACATCTGTGAACATGTGTATCCTGCTGCGACAGTGGCGTCAAAGACGGCAGGGTGTTCATGACACCAGTGACAGGAAGTGTGTGTCTGTGTGTGCTTGTATGTACACACTCACACGTGAACTGCTTTCTCCGCACATTGTTATCAGACAGCTCTTCATGGGCCAAGGGCCAGACGCATTCTATAGCTCTGATGTCATCACTGCGAGACAGGATGAGGAATTTTCTGTTTTGGCTTCTGTTTCCTCACCCTCTCACTCACAAACACATTGGCAGATGTCAGACAGCCATGACCTCACCACAGACCTGAGTCACAGCTATTTGGTAACGTCTTCACGCTCATCATGAAGCCGGAGCAGCGGATACTGATTGATTGATGAGTTGCAGATGACACACACAATATATAAACGGCAGACAAGCTGATAGGGGCACAAGAGGTTCACGAAAGACACAAAAACAAACCCTAAGTAATTGTTGTAGTGTTCATTTTGTCTGCCATTTGTTCTTTAGTCCCAGTCCTGCTAAATGTCCTTTTTAAAAATGTCAAAGTTTTTATCATAGTTTTATTTAACCTATATTTTGTGCATTGTTTATCTTCGTCAAAGAAAACTGTTACCAAGTGAATTAAAAGTGTTTTTAGTTATATTTAGTTATGGTATTATATTGAACAATTCATTTTATCTGCAGTAGCCACAATGTCCTTATGATAAGGCATACATAGCACAGGAATTGGAACTGCCGCATAAAAAGATAAACACTCACACAAAATAATTGTCATTTTGTCAACACAAATTAAGGGATAATGGCAAAAATATAAACCATATTAATATTAATCTTTTTTCAACAATATTGCATAGTGAAATATTGCCATGAGTCAGTTTAATGACATCAGTTCTTTCATAATCTCATCCTTACTCTGGAAGAAAGGTTGTTGAAGACCATATTTAATATTTGCAATTAACAAAATGATATTTGATGGATACAGCAGGCATATGCTGTGTATTCACCTGAGAAAGGGATAAAGAAAGGAAGAAATGTCACTGTTTAGTTTTAGTTCAAGTCCCGTGAACACGTGTGATATGTGTAAGTTGTAGAAGGCAGAGCAAAGCCAGTAAGTGTTCATGGCGGTACATTTTGTCCAAGCCTACTGTTGCATAACCCTTCCTGCACAGCATATGGAGCTGGTGGGTTTCATAGATTTTATTGGGATGTAAAATGAAGAAGGGAGAGAGGCAGAGAGAAGTCTTCCAGAGCGAGCCTGAAATAGAACAGCAGAAGGGACAGGTAGAGGTACAAACATAGACGGAGACAGCAGACATTCACACACGTACTTAAAACACACTGCATTCACCTACTTATCCATTTCCTCACTGAACTGCTGGTTATTCAGTTACCACAAACTAGCTATTACCATGGGGCACGTTTATGTGTTTGTGCATGTCACCCATGGCTGGCCCTGGATTCCGGGAAAAAAATTCTCGTAGTTTTGTAACACATGCTCAGATTTCAGCTTACTCAACCGTCCTCTCACCCCTTTATTCCTCCCTTTATTCCCTTACACAATCCCTCTTTTTTTTTAACTGACAGGAAGGACAGATTTAGACCACTGTATGGCGTTTCAATTTGTTACGGTGTGAGTGGCCAAGAATCCAGACATCTTAGCTAGAGTTTTGTGGGGGTTTATTATTGTGAAGGTTGGTTTTCTAAGTGAATAAATGACATAGAATAACTAGATTGATAATTAGGTTGAGATTCTACTTATTTCAAACTGGAGTGAAAGCAAGAAAAATATGTGGTGGGATAATAACATAGGCTTTGCTACAGGGAGTTAAGCAACTGCACATCAAGGAGAGTGAAGCCGTCTCTCTCTGGCTGAATCATAACCGTGGGACTTGTAATATGAGGGAGGGAAATGGGCGGTGGCGATTGGTGATATGACTCTGAAAGGAGAACTTCCAGGTGTTGGTACACTTCTGGCCAGCAATTGCGGCGGAGAGGTGCCAAAACACCCAGTGGGGAGTGTAATGACCGGACAGTTGGCGTTTTTGGGAAGTAGTTTAGACTTGAGTGTAAATAAAACCAAACAACATGAGACACATTCATCTCTCCTCCTGCAATTTTCTTACTTTGGTAGTAATTTTATGTTGCAGCAATGAGAAATGTTATTGGAGTGAATTGGTCACAAAACACATTACGGAATAGAGAGCCCAAATCCTGGTTTCTGTTACAAAAGTAAGAAAACCTCATTGGAAATCACACTGACATTTATAATAAACCCAATGACAAAAATCCAGCCCTGGAACAAAACCATTCTCAGTCTTATGTCTTGTGGTGTAGTCCATATGTCTAGACAGGGATGGTAAACCTTAACAAAATGATGTATAAAAACTGTTAATTATTTTGTTTAAGAAACCTTTACCAAACAACATTTCCCACAAGCCCAAGACTGTTGTGGGTTAAACATAATACGCTTGACAGCCAGTTGAGTGGTGAGCTTTATGAGCTAACAGGGAGCGATCATTTTAAAGCATTTTTGCCATTATTTTGTTTTGGATGTTCCTTCATTTAATGCATGGACAGTAGAGTAGGGACAGGAAAAGAGGAGTGAAAGGAATGGATTGATTTAACAACGCCATTGCCTCAAAGCAAAGATGTTTTGACAACTTGATCTCCACCTTAAACCTCGAGGTCACCAGGGGCCTCATTTATAAACGGTGCGTACGCTCAAAAGATGGCGTACGCCAGTTTCTAAGCAATGTTTGCGATTTATAAAAAATAAACTTGACGGGAAAATGTGCGGTCCTCCACGCAAACTGTGACCCATGCGTACGCACTAAGCACAAAAACGGGAGAGGCGAGAAACTGCGACACCGTTGGCAGAAGGAAGAATGGAGAGAACTATGTGAAAATAATACCATAAATATAATGTTACCTCTCATGTATCATATATGAAGAATTCATTTGCAAACATTGATTAAAGCCAATGTTAAAATGATTTTGAGACTCCTCAGTGCACACAAAAACCTAACTTGGAGAAATAAATATACACGGATATGTTATTGAAAACCACCTTGAATATGTTGACTTAATGTTATGACATGTATTCTCATAAATTATGCGGTATGCAGAAGGACATAATTACGTCTAAACTGAGGCCGTTTTGTATTTCTACAGTATAGGTTGTATAGATACGAGCATGGTTTTATATACTATCATGTTTAATCGTGTTTTATGCCGTTTGCTAAGACTTGATGTCGCTCATAAAACACAGGAGGTATGGAAACTAAGAACACCATATATTTGGTAGATTTGGCAGCTGATATTACACAACACATTAGTTTTATTTCCTTTAACTGGTGGATATAGAGTTGCTGCGGGGGGTTGAGGCGCACAGGCTGCAGTGGAGACGCTGCTCACAGCTGATCGACAGCTGGAACAAAACCACCAAATAAAAAAATAAACATTAATTGACTCCACTCCGCAGGGATCCCCCGATACTTTCTTACAGTTTCTCATCATGGGGGGGGTCTCCTGTCCCCGGGACAAACACACTGACACACTGCCTGAGGAAGGTTATGTGTATTTTGTCATTAACATTTTTCGGACCACTTATTTATTTATTTTGGTGACGATCCGACCTCCATGCTGCTACTCTGGTTCAAACTGCATCCACCAAACAATATGATTTATCTCCACCTCCCCAAAAGAACCAAAATCTGACACGGTGTGAGATGTCTTTTTTAGCTGTTCTGTCGTCATTTCCTGCAATCTTCTTCATGCAGTCAGTCAAAATGAATATTAATACGGGGCGTTTCTTTGACTATTTATAGGCAAATATGGGCGTTACGTGAAGCCCGCAAAAGCTGCGCCGCATTTCGAGTTGATTGTGATTTATAAAGGGAAACCGGCGTATGACGTGACTTTGGTTCTCAATTGATCAAATCAGATACTTTTTTTTGGTGGTTATCTTGATTTTACAGACACAAATATGTCTAATGAACCCTAAATAATGAAATGACACTTGGAAATGGGAGCATAATCGTCAGTGCCAGTCACACTATCAACTAGCATGTCACTGTGATACCCTAGCAATCCCCGTCTTAACAACAAACGATAGGCAGAGATCAAATCCAGAGAGGCGAAAGAACAGAAATGTTTTTTATTTCAAGTGTTCAGAAATCCTAACCTACTTAGCTAACAATATATTTCTGTCTGTGTGTGATTACCTGACCTATTTCTACCGGGTGTTCAAATGTATTTGTTAAAGGTCAGGACAATGTGACTCATCAAACCAGTGATCGGTACTGGAAACAAAACTCTCACAATGTGTCTCTGAGTATGAGTTCATATGTGTGAATCTGTGTGTGCAGTTTACTCACATGTAATGCTCTTGCTGGGTGTTGTGAGCTCCGTGTGTGAGAGGCGGCTGCTCCACTTGTCTTCATCATCCCCTCGCAACCTTTCTGGGGTGCCATTTAACCTCAATATGAGGGGCTCAGTATAGGTGTGGGCCTCATCTGAAAAACAAACCAACACAGATACATACGCAATTAAAAAAACAAACAGTTTTCTGTAAGATCAGACATGTTTATGTTTAGTTTATTTAAAGGTTTTTGAGGTTCATGTTCCTGAGTGACAACTGCTTTCCATGAGGATATTATCGGATATCAGCAGCAAGCTGTTTTCCCGCTTGTAGTAAACTTGTCTACACTCATGTCATTTCCCATCTACTAGCACTTCATTAATTTAAACCGAGTAGTTCTGCTGACTTCAACAAAGCAGAAGATTTTGTCTGTATGTGTGTGCTCTGTCCTGCGCTTGCATCTGGAAGCAGTTAAATCCAACCCCTTGGGACTGTTTAGGGGTCTATGTGCATGCTTGTGAAACCTGAAATCTGTGTGAGTCTGTGTGTGCTGCGATTGTGTTTAAGAGTGGGTGTATGTGTTTATAATGAACACATAAGACGACATACACATTATTTACATACAGTAAATACATGTCTGGGTGTTTTATGTGTTCACCGGTACCATGCAGTGTTCTAATGAAGCTGTTATTATGCGCACACAGACACACACACGTATATACTAACATACATACATACACACTACACAGAGGCCTTCAAAGCCACGCAGGCTTGGGCCTCTGAGAGGTGCAGACTCATTCCTGGGCAAATGGGAGCCAGCTGGGTTTGATAAACACACACACACACACACAAAAACCAAACCACGTCCTGTGCTTGGACTCAACACTTCCCGGCTATGTTTATTTACTCTATCCACTCTCGCTCACTTCTCTATCTGTCCTCTCTTTCCTGTCCCCTGCCTCTCGTCTCCAGCTCAAATTCCCTCTCCGCTCTTACAAATAAATTCCTTCACATATTTGGCATCACTCCATAGATTAATTCCTACTTTCACGGCTAAACCTATACAGTATGTCAATGTAAAGGTCTCAGCTGTGTCTCGCGCAGTGAAAGAAGGGATGAAAGATGAAAGAAAACGCATAGCAACAGTTTATTTCAACGAAGAAAGTGATTTCTAGAGATTAATAGTTGATAGAATACATTTATCTGGTTCTGAAATTGTGTTTGTCCAAATATTATTTCTGTAGCAGGGGAATCAAACTTGGCAGGATCAGGATGTCATCGGTGTCAACCAGGAAAGTATGAACCTCAGTCTATTTATTCTTTTAGTAGATCAGTGGAAAAATATACTGCAACTTTTTTCAAATGTAAGGTAATTTGCTTACGCATTTCCTGCTTTTGTCTGATGTGTTTTTTTTCTTAAAATGTTGGACATTTGCAGACGTCCTCAGATAGACATTGTTCACTGTTTTCTAGAATTCAATAGACCATTATTCAATAATCATTATACAGTGATCGATGATGTTAATAGTTGTTGGATGAAGTTTCTATTTTGTTTTTAATTATTAAAAAATGGTGTATAATAAAGTGTAAAATGTTAGACTCCATGAGATTTACTGTTTACCATAATTGTAACAGTGTCTAATATCATGACATACAAACAGGTGAAAATCCATGATAAACAAGGGAATCTTTTTTTACTGAAATTACTGAAAAATACCCACACTGATATCAAAGTGGGTTTTATCACAACTAAATGTTCACCTATTGTAACAATGACCAGGCCTCTATCAGATAAAGCATGTGGTACAGGTTGAAACGACATGGTGCACCACACTGCCTCTTTTGTTGTAGACAATCTAATCAGACATACCGAAATGCAGTTTGTTGCATCTTTTTTTAATACTTTCACAAGGCAACTACCAAATTGTTGCTAATATTAGTTTAACACAAACCAAGAACGGTACACTTCCTAATGGACAAGCACAAACTTTTAAGCACAGCATTAATTTACTCGCAAGCCTCTTGTTCTTTGTTCAGTTCGTGACTTTTTTATATAAATTCATAAAGCTCTGTGTGTCCAGCAAAAGTCCTTCAAAGGCCTGTTCTTCAAGGCAAAAGTATGATGAAAAGAGATATCTTTTATGCAAAAGCATTGCGCAAAACGCTTTATTCTTATTGAAAACAATTACAAAAAGCAGCCCCAAGCTGCTAAAACTCACTCCGTTTGATCAAGACCTTTCTAAAGAAACACTATCCATATTTTCTTAGAAAACAAAGTCAATCAAAGCTACTTGTATGAATCACTTGGTTATGTAAGGTGGTCTAACCTTGATGAAGAGAAACAGTGTTTTAAGCATTGGATGTTTCGTGTGTTTGGTGTTTGCCTTCACTTTTTATATGTGTGTGTGTGTGTTTGTGTAATGGGATCTCTGTGGGTGTGAAGTTGGAGGAGACGTAAACAGGACCTGAAGGGATGGGAAGCACTTCCTGCTCTTCCGTTCTATTATACGGTGGTACACAAACCCAACACATATACCTGTACACAAACATAAAACACATATTACCTTCCTATATGTATTACCAGTTCTCCACACACACACACACACACACACACACACACACACACACACACACACACACACACACACACACACACACACACACACACACACACACACACACACACACACACACACACACACACACACACACACACACACACACACACACACACACACACACACACACACAGCTGTCTCTTGCATGTGGAAGCCATTTCTAAGGCCCATGTTGTATCCATTAGTTTCAATCAGTCAGCTTCAGATATGAAAGCCACTAGTGAGAACCGTTGCTCTCGACACTGCCAACATTTTGTCTAGTTTAGAGATATGGGTGTATTATAGGTTGTGTATGTCACTAGCAACTATATCTGTCCATCTGTTATTACATCCATTCACCCATACATCCTTATTTTACTTTCCTGTAATCACTTTGGATAACACTCAGCACTTATTTCAAGGAATATGGAAAAGACAATGTATGTAGCTCCGTTCATACTGTTTCCATATTCTTACATCTATAGTCTGTAAAGTCATGTATTTTTGAATATCTCTCTAAACATCACGTTAACCATAATCAGTAACCAACAAGCTTGTCAAAATCCATCAGTTAAAATCATCCATTGTTCTATGCAGCTGGTACCCATTTATAAATATTAAAGATGGATAGAAAAAAGTAATATATCAAAAGATGCTGGCAGGCAACATTTGACTTTAATGAGAGTTGGCAGGTTTTTGAGAATATTCAGATCAGTAATATAGTTAAAACAAAAAGTGCTTTAGGTGGCATTTATCGGTTATACTCATCCTCTTCTCGTGCTGTTTTGGTCGCATTCTCTGGAAGCTGCATTTGGGGGCAATTATGTCATTATCAAAGCCACACGAGAGCCCAACTTCAGCAAACCACAGGAAAGGAAAGGTCTTCTTCAGTGTAATAGCCATGACTCCACACAACAAATCAGTTTACAACGATCCCACAATTACTACATCAGAAAATTATACAGTATACTTAGCTAAAATAGAAGGACAACAACAGTGCAAACGCCTTGGAAGTGTGACAAAGGTAGTAGTCGAATTAGAAGTAAGGATACCAGAGTATTGCTGCCATGTTTGGAAAAGTCAAAGTTGATGATATTCAATAAATATGTCCATGAAGTATCAGAATATGTGTTTAACACCTCCACATTGTAATGACTATGTGATAATAATCTGTTTGGCTTAACCACTTGATAGTTGCATGTTGTGAGTCCTTATTTAGACTCCTACTGCCGAGCACTATGGGTTAAATGAGTTTAGGTCTTGTGACTGCAGTCAATGTTTTTCCCCCTGTAAACGTTTAAAACCACGATTGTTGGAGCAAAACACAACCCCATAAAAACCCCTAGTGCCATCCAAGCAGGCCTTATACCAATTGTGTGTTGGCATCAGCATCAAACCGCTGAACCGCCCGACCTCAGAGACATTTCTGAGATCTGAGAAAGATGAGCCTCTAATTCGAATCAGACCAGAGCAATCAAGAGCCGCTGAGGAGAGCTGGCTGTGTGTTTACACGTGTGGGTGTGCATGTGTATTTGTTTGTGCATGCTTGCTTGTGTTCATGTATGTGCTTGTGTTCATGTGCGTGTTTGTCAGTTGGTGCTTGTGCACGTGTCAGTGACCCTGAAGGGCGATCCAAAAGAATTTCAGTGTTCTAGAAAACAAACTGTTAACTATTAAAACAAAAACATGTGGATACACACAGGCACACACACAAACACAAACACACACCGATCCATTCTATGCTAGCTGGCAAAGGATGTGACAAATCCTAGATCACCTGAAGGGGAGCAGAACCTGCTGTTCCTCTGGGTATGATCTCTGAGGGGGAGTGCTGAGCTGAGTTTACCTTCCGCCTTTCAAACTACCTCAACCTACGACTTCACTTGTACTTCTTTAGAGGCACAGATTTCTAATGTGCAAAGGAAAGAAGCTGGTCTCTTAGGTGTGTACATCCCTTTGGCAAAGACATACGGTACATATACACCCACCAGCCACAAACAGGGAAACAGGCATCTAAAATGATGAGTTAATCCAGTGAAACTTTCACCGTGTAGTGTGAATGTTAAGATGCAACTCTGTTTAATATTGTCAATATATCAATGTCTCTGTGTTGTGTTTGATCATACTTGCAAGTAGTATAGGAACAATCAGTCAATTAGAAGAAACAACCTTTTGCTAATCAGTTAGTGATGAGTCACAAACTGATTTTAGATACCAACATATCAGAGTTAGGTGCTTTACTATGTTGTATATCGTATATTAAATATTTATGTGAAAACTGTCTTGAGCATTTCACGAAACATTTGATACAAAAAAGGTTTATGTAACAATATACATAATTGTATAATCATGAAAACAATGTTATATTTTCTATGTCTAGTATGTGTAATATACTCACTATTCAGTAATAAAAAACTGTAACTATATATTATGATAAAGCATAAACCATAAATATATAACACAAGTGCAATCTTTAGGTAAAAAACAAGTAGTTTATTTGACAATTCTCTAACATAATAGATTAAATAAGTGATCAATTAACCGTAAAAATACAATT